GAAGCGAATAGGGCCCTCCAGGTTTGTCCCGGTATGCCGTGACCCCTGTAGTGGATACAATCTCTGTAACCTGCCTCGTCAATCCCTTCACCATATCCCGTATCTCCTTCACTTCCTCAGCTACGGCCTCATTCTTCTCCGACCAGGGATAGTCYTTGAAATCAGGACATCTATCCGTGGCATACTCCTTGTAGAGAGAGAAGTCACGTCTTCTCATCCCTCTCCACACCAAGTCCTTGTAATCATCTGCCTCTGCCTTTATCGCGAGCTTTAGGACTTCAGGAAAATCAAGCCTGTCGCGAGGAAGATCTCTAAGTATACTTTTTTGCCTACCTTTAGACAAGTGTCCTATGAAGATAGTACAGCGCTCGACTTCGGAGATCTTCCCCTTCGTCATCAGCACGTCGGAGATCTTTTGGAAACACATCCCAAATGCTCGCACGCTCTCATCTTCTTCTTGAGTTATTGTTTCTAAGTCTTTGATGGAATACTTGTTATCCTCTAATTTGTAAAACTCCAAGAGGTTCTTCTTGTAAGTAGCCCATCTTCCATCCTTCGGTCGAGCTCCTTTGACTTTCCTACCGAGACTTGGGTCTACATTAAATAGGAAGTTTTCTATAATCTCTTCCTCTGACCACCGACTCCGGCAGGCATGAAGCTCCCACTTCTCCAGATATTCCGTGATACCATAGCTCCTGAAGGTAGGAGGCTCCGAGGCCATGTGCGCGATAATATAGTGATCCTTGGTCTCGTAAGGAAGAGGATATGACTCCCCTGTCTGAGGGTCGAAGACTCGCCTGGGCGGCGCCCTGTCTCTATCTCTGTCCCTCCAATAGGTATCCCTCAAACTCTCTCTCCAGTCGTCTCCGTGCCTGTCTGCCGTGGTGTCTCTCCTCTCGTACTCGGGAGAGCGTCTCCTCGTCACTTCTCGCCGTTCGTCCGAGGTGCCTGTCCTTAGAGCTCCCCGCGGCTCTGTCACAGCCGGTTCGCCCCTTTCGCCGGGTCCCCCTTCATTGGTTTGGTCGGCCCATCTCAGCGGCGCTTCACGCCTAATTCGGTCTTTCAGATCTCTCAGGGCGCGATCGGGCGATGTCCTGTACTCCTCTCCTACTTCGCCCATGATCGGTTGTGGCCCCATCGCGTCGGGTTCCATCGGGCCCTCAGATGACACACTCAGATATCCTAGTCAAGTGCCTCGGTCCTGTCCCTATGACAGCCGACGCAGCCCGGACCAATGATAGTCACGGCAGCCCGGACCTCTTTCTTTACCACGACCTACGTCTCTCTTGGTCACAACCTATGTCTACCTTCAGTCTTAGCTCTAGACTTCCTCATCTACCTCTTCCGGTAGTCCGTACCGGTCGCAGATCTCATGCTCTCCTCTAGCAGCCGAGGTAAGTTAGTGCTATAATCACYTGTAACCTCATCGCCGACTGCTCCAATATGTCATAGAACGTCTCAAAATCCTCCTTATCTCCATCATCCTCTATGGTTTCTAAAGTCTTTATCGTCTCCTTCCAGTACCTATTGT